ATACGGCCAACTCACACTGTCAGACTGTATGTATGTTTGTGCATCATTTGGTACTTACTTGTTGTTACCTTTAGAAATCCCTGCTGCGTCAGTGATTATTTTCCGCTCCTGCTGATTGCGTCATTGTTGATTGTGCGTTTGCTTAATTCATCATGCTTACTAATCCATTTATCTGTAGAACAAGCTCCTGTCAGTCCTTAATATATCATCTGCTGCCCCACAGCTGTCTGCTCCTACTGACTACTGGCTAAAAACTGCGTGTGATCTAATAGTCACGATCATCCTGTCAGATCCATAACCGTCTGGATATTACACCAATCAGAGGGAAGGCGGACTTCGTCAAGCGACTGGGGAAATACTAGGCGTAGATTATCTGCCAGTGCGAAGGAAGTTTCTTTCAGGATCTTTGGATGGACCTCGTCGGGCTACAATGCACAGAATGGGTTGATCTTGTGCAAGAGTTGACGAATGTCCTCCATCATGAAGACCAAGTGGGTTAGAGGCTGTTCGTAGTTCCGCCTTGACAAGGGTGGATGTGACAACGACGCTAGGGCCGAATATAGGCCTGGATAGTGTTCTTTGTAAACCTCAGATACCACCGTTGAGTCACTGGTGGGTTCTTCGTTACTATCCCTCAAGGAGAACGCGAATGGCTTGTTTCCGCGGCGGTCTCATGTATTTGAACAGTGCATTTTTGTTCTTTCCGATCGAGGCCCAGAATGTTGGCTTGTTTTCGTATGTTCCATTGGCGAATTTCTGATTTACAGCGGTTCCGCATTTTACGAACTACCAGCTCATTTTCTGTATCCCCTGTAGACAAACTTTTGAAAAACAGTTGGAGTCTTTTTTCCAGAAGTCACCGAATCCTTTTTGGCAGCCTGCGGTTCATCTCAGTGCGTGCTGGTTTTTTTGGGACGAACATCGCGTCAGCCTCATGAACTTTCTGGACAATGGTGTCATATAGTTCTTTCACTGGAGCTGGTCCCAGTGTGACTTGTTCAAAAAAAGATGCGCATTCCTGAGAAGTATGCATGGCAGAAGTCTCGAAACCACGATTGAGGTTCGGGATTTCCGGTCCAACAGCAGATGAAATCACAGGTCAACACACAGTGGTCGCTATGTCCCAGTGGAGCGTTAATTGTTACTTGATCAACGAGGTGCTTTTCGTTGATGATGACCTAATCCAGGAGGGATGGTAGTTGGCCTGCGCGGTATCTGGTGGGTGCAACAGTCCCAGCGCATTGTTGAACGACTTCAATCAGCGCCGCTGCATAAAGTCCGCTTGATTCGACGCGCTGGAGCTCCATCCAGGAGGCCTTAGAGGCGTTGCAGTTTTAGCGGTCGTTCAATCTATTCAGTGCATCCGCATCCATTGTCTCCCTTGTGCTTTGGTTCACATCCCACAACGTGCATCACTAGACAAGACGTGACTTGTCTGCAACCTTGACTGATGACAGCATCTATACTATCCCTCTCTAAGGAGGGAGCATTGTAACGGTTACCCTCCTGCTCAATTGTTCCTCTAACCAATTTCACTCCGGCGACTACTACCACATTCCGTTTTGTCTGTCTTACAATCACGCGTGAATATCATGACAGAATACTTCAAACTCCTGTTCAATGAAGAACGCCAGGTGATTTCATATTATTGTTTCCACGTTCTACGCATTGCAACGACATATATACAAGGACAGAACACGGTCAACCGCACACACACACGCGCATCACGCAGGCGTCAGAACACAGACCGGCTCAATACACCAAAAGCTGTCGACAACCAGGAAAATGTGGCAGTGAATCTGCCAGAAGAAACGACTACATGCACCCAAACAAACTCGGAGGAACTATTACAACTTACACTCAGAGCGACAAGACCTCCGTTTGAACATTTTTATTTTTGGTATTGTATTCGACTTGGTTAAGGTGCACCTAGTTGTTGTAACCTCACGCTCTCAAAACACAGGCTTTGTTAGTGTCTCTTGTCTTCTGATTTATCAAGTGATTTTACTGGTAACAAAAGAGAACACTAATAAAGTCACTTACCAAAAGGCTATGAGTGAAGTGGGGACCCGAACAATGGGTGACCAGGGATGTCAGCAGACTTCGGGCAGATTAGCAGACTCAGGGAGGTTAGCAGACCCCAGGAAGGTTAGCAGACTTCGGGGGGTTAGCAGATGAGGTGAATCCCAACGTACTTAAAAATTCTGGTACGGGAAATCGCGTCTACCACTGCTACTAGTATCATTTATTCTTGGAGAACAAACATAAAAATTGACTGCAAGCGACGAATGCGAAAGGGCAACAGGAGAATATGGGAGAAAAGAGAGAACCTTCTCATTCGGATTCATTCCAACAACACTCCCAGTCAGATTATATGAATCCCAACGAATGTAAAAATTTTGATATGGAAACACGCATCTAAAGACAAACAACCGGAGAAAGAACAAACAACGTTAAATGCTCTTAAGGGCGCGGTGGGCGATAGGACAGTCAAGACTCGCACATCAAGTACAAATTGCCCGTCATACTGGTCTGGTGTGAGAGTAAATGGCAAAAATGTACATTCAACGCCATGTGCCACGCATAAAGGTGCTATAAGTACGCAGGGAGCTCACAGTAGCAAGAAAACACAAGTCACCGACCGTGACCTTAGGAATTCCCAGTTCAATAACAGCTGCTGCAACAACAACAACTACTACTACATCGTAATCTGACTGAGGACCTATCGAAACTATTTGAATGCATCAAGGTCATTCGCAGTTCGACCTTGAAGAACTTTCAGGCTCACGTCTGTGTTACCGCGCGAATGGGTGACACTTGGCAGTTGTTTGCATTACGTAAGTAACCTGTGCGGTGTTTAAGAGCTGTGAAAAGACGGCGGGGCTGAGTAATGGTTTTTTACATAAATTTTCTCACGGAGACAGAGTTTTAACGCTCGAACTGATCTTATATTTTAGGGTAGTCCGGTTTCAATATGAAGTAGCAGTACTTGGCATACTGTGGCAGTGGACCTAATAGTCACACCTCGTAGACATATAAGAACATACCTCCTATTTTCGCAGATGTTGCCTCGTTTCCTTCCGAAATTGAATACAACACAGGTCACACTCACGCCCTTGTAGTAAATAAAGAAAAACACGTGAGGTAACTTACCAAATAAACTGAAGCTAGAAAGCAGTTGCTACAGAATAAAAAAAGACCGTAGTTACCTTTGTTAGTCTCCTTGTATATGAGCTTCTGCAAACCAGTTGGTAAAGTATTCCTCGACTTCTTAATGCCAGATTTTTTGTAATTCATATGAAAACATTGAACTAACTCTGGGTCGCATCTTTGCCTCTTGATTTATTTGGTTTACTGTGACACCCAAATTGTATTTCAGCCGTTTTGAAATCGTGGTTGCAATTTGGCTGGTCCAAACCTCTTAAGTGGCACAACAGCTAGTTTATTGAGAAGCCATAGCTGGCGCTTTTTATGCTGTGGTGAAAATTAATGCAAATTAGGCCTATATTAGAGAAAGACCTGAAATGAGGATTTTCAAGGTTCCACATTATCTGCGCTATTATTTCGCTAGTGGAAAAAGTAAATATCCTCAACAGAAGCTTCTTTTAGTAGGAAAGCTTATAAAGAGCTAGTAGTAGTCCGAAGTATGTGAATAAGGTTTGAAAACATGTGTACAAATTTCTGGGGGTACCTCGTTGGGCAGCTATGTTTGAGAGCGGTGACTGATGGACAGAATTGAACAAACCCTTGAATTTAGGAAACATTAACACTACGTGCTGTTTGCATATATGACGTCACCCTAACACATTAGGAAGTGTGATGATGCCGTCGATACAGCCTCTGTACGGTTAAATCCCACTTGCCATACAAGGGTTAAAATTCTGCTTTCCGCTGCAGGACGACAAAGAACACATGACGCAAGATATCAGGACCATACTGTTTTCTGACTTTTCAGCATAGAATGGCTTCGCTTTCAAGATAGATCTCCGCCGAAATCCCAGAAAACTCACACTACGAGCGATTTATAGGTAGCTCTTTGGAAGAATGAAATTCACCCAGTGAATGAGGCTTTCTTTCGAAACGTTGCTGCTAAGTGGACGCGGATGACCACTGATGTGTATCTCTGAGTAAAAGTTGGTTGGCGCCATATCCTAACTGCGTACGGCTCGATCAACTGCCAATCAGCCGCTCGTAAATGAACAGTTAAGAACTCAAGCTTTTGGCCGGGAAGTTACGGTTTCGAGGCTCTTCAGAGTTTTGTGAGTCGGTTACTGCTGATGGCTCGAAATAAGGATGAGACAGCCGTGCACTTCTTATAGGCTTTTTCTCTTCAGAGTTTTGTGAGTCTGTCACCGCTGATGGTTCCAAATAAGGATGAGACAGCCATGCACTTCCTATAGGCTTTTCATTACAGACTGACTCTACTTATGGGGTAAAATCTTCAATACAAACATACTGTTATTACAGAAAGATTATGAAAACTGACAGAGGGATAAGTAGTTCAAACGAAAACACACAACATTTACGTCCGCCACACAATACAAAGTTTTAAGTTGCTCACTGGCAGCCATGACTGAGCCCAATACACATAGTTGAAAACTGGGTAGAGAAAAATGCGAACGTCTGTGTTCCTAAAAGAGATTTGATGACCTCAAGGAGGCAAAATGAATAACAGTTATCATCGTCATTGACAGTATGACATCAGTGCCCAACATTGATGTGTCACTCTTGTACAACCATGATTTATTTGAAAGTCTTATTGTAAAGAAAAAATGGGGATGATCAAGGAAGAGTCTCGTTGCTGGCTTACTGCAGTTATTTCGAGGTTCCTACACCTGCGGATACTTAGATAATCTGTATAGAAGCTGACAACAAGGACATCATTGACATCTATTGGTTGCCATAACTTGCAGTTTCACCAACCAGACGCAGTTGGAATCATGCTTTCTCCATTCTGGAAGACGCCTAGCACCGATAGCATCAAAACATTTTGTTATCTCCATATTAGTCTTTTAGGTGAGGGGTTGATTACCTCTTCGACCCCGCCAATCTAATTTTAGCATGGAACACAGCTCTATCTCCGTCAAACGATGGTTGGGCACACGTAACACATGTTCCAAATAACGCAGCTTCTGGTACAGGATAAGTTCTTTAATGGAAATATCCGTTGCACAACCGAAAACGCGCTTTTAAACTGCCTGGTTACGGATTCGCCGACACCAACCCACACTAGCTATAGTTGTGAGACAAAGATTGTCGAACATCTGAAGACGTCTCAGTTCTCCTGCTCGATCAGGTCAAGGTTCACAGCCATACAACAAAACAGCCTCACCGTAGCCTGATACACACATTCCTTGAGATTCTGGGATATGCCACTGACCACTGGTGTCTCAAATTGGCAACAACGACTCGGACCATGCAGATTCCTGCTTCGGCCTCATCTGCTACTCTACAATCAGAACTAATGCAAATTTCAAGATAGGTGAACCGCTCCACAACTTTGAGTACCCCTCCCTGGATTGTAAGAGGTTGCGTTCAGTGACTGCACGTTCAAAAGCGTGACCTTACGCCTTTTGAATGCAGAATGCATGCCAAAGAACGGAATGACTCTTTTCCGTTCATCCAAAAATACCTACGCCTCCTGTTCTTCGAAAATGAGAACGATG